GAAAGGGCAAGCGCGGCTTCTCCTCTCCCGCCGGGACTTAACACGACTTTCCTTCCAAGCACGCGGGGCCTGTTCTTGTGGGGAAAGGGTGTCGGGCAGGTTGACGGATGGCGCTGGGCGGGGGGGTGCACTGATCCGTAAAAGGCACTCAGACATTCCCGAGATGATTATCCGCTTCAGTTAGCCTCGGCGGCCCTGGGGTTCTCTTGTCTGTCGGGGCGGCCGATCATGGGTGACATCACTCGTGAGGTCTGAGATGAGTGTGGTCCGCAAAGCAGGAGCTTGAACTTTAGAGAAGAGACGAGAACTCGGGTGTAAGGGTTAAACAGGTCCATTAACCAAGTGCCCCTAAGGAAACTGTTACCCGCTGTGATGCAAAACCGAGTCAGGGTTCTGCTAAATAAGACGGGCTCCCGGGATTTGCTGTTGAATTCTGGCTTGCAAGCGTCTTGAATGAGGACGTGGCAGGCTTCCCGGCAGGGTGTGAGTCTACTGGGTTCCAAGCCTGACTAGACCAGGCATCCCTTGCAGAGGAAACCCGTGTTCATTCAAAATGGCAGCATGAAGAAGCAGGCGGGAGGGAGCAGCACGGACCAGTCTCGCCCGCGGCCCCCTGGCTTGGGCCCGGGGGAGGGAATGTGGGGAAGGCAGGCTTCCCCAGCCCTAAGGGGCAGGGAGTAATTTTTGCAGCAGGCTAGATTTTAGGCTCCTGGGGAGGGTAAGCGGGAAATTTGGGGAGCTGTACAATTTATTTTCTCTAACTTATCAAAAGCTGGTGCAAAGACCCAATTAAAACTCTCTGTGATTCTGATCTGATTTTCTCCAGGTTCCGCTAAAGTCGATTTATGTGGCTGCTGATGTCTGTTTGAGGTATAACTGCAGTGTTGCTTGGTACCAACAACTGGCTCTTAAGAGAGATGGGTGTCTAGTGTCAACATCACCCAGGAATAGTAGACATAACAGTAGACATAACAAATGCCAGGGCCTTAGAGCCAGTCTCATTGCAGGAATTGATTTAGCACCATGACCAAGCACCCAGACACCAGAGGATGGTAAATTCTTGAAAGGTGACTCATGTCAGGGTTTCTCCCTCTCTCTTAAGCAGCCTTCCTTCCCCATGTCGCTGCTGTACTGCCAGCCATCTTCTCATTTAGGAAGAGGAGATGCATGAGGCAGCATTTGTTCTGGGGATAATGGGATGGAGGAAGATTAGCACAAAGGTCAGGAATGGTCATGCTGGCTGCAGCCGGAGAAAACACTGTGATGTTAACTCCCCTTGTACAGCCTGGGAGGCTGAGACTAGCAGGGGATGGGGGGCCGGGGGTGAGGTGGGGGTGGGGACATGGACCACGCCCAAGGTCATACAGTTGGTTGGCAGCTGGCAGTGAGGACTGAAATCCAGGTCTTGAAACTTCCCCAGTTTAGGGTTCCATATGCCACCTTTCAAAGCCTGGAAGAATAGGGCAAACCTGTCATGAGAGTGGCAAACAGAGCAACCCGAAACCAAACTGTACCAAGAATTAGAAAATCTAAGGTTCCCTAATTCAAGCCCATTTAACTGCTTAAGCTGTCTGTGCCTCGTGTTCACATTTTGTGGTGACTAAACTGCTTCTGTATTTAAACTCCAAAGACATTATTTTAATCATAACCTTTGAGGTGAAAAATGTGCTCTCTGATTAAAAATTAGTTGTTGATGCTTGCGGAGAACCGATAGGCCAATTTTTTTTAACTAAAAGAAAACAAAGTGGGATATAGAATAGCTTTTGAATGTCTCTAATTTTAAGTACAAGCAAATAACAAGCCTTACTTAAAATGCTTTGAAGCAGCACTGAAGATAGAGCCCTTTTCTATAATTTGTATTTGAATTCTCTGAATCATATACCAGTGACCTCAGACCTACCAAAGGAAAACGAGAAAATGTGCCTGGGTCGGTGTTTGTGCAGAGGCGGGAGGATATGGAAAACCCTTCGGGCATTCAGTACCTTCGCCCTAGTGATCTGCAGAAGGAGGAGGTGGGCAGCTTGCAGGCAGCAGGGAGAATAATTTGCGATGGTGAAGTAGTTAGGGGCTAGGTCTGGCCAGATATGTTGAAATGAGGACAGATGCTGACGCCACGTGTGCCATTAAAAAAACAACTTTCGTTAGAGCATGAGTGTGAAGATTCATTCATTGAAATTCCCCTGATATGCCAAAGATGTTAAAGATCACAAGTTTTTTAAGATATAGGGTGTCCCCCCAAAATGTGTACACACTTGAACAGCTGATAACTCAATTTTCACTCCTTTTCAGGTTTAACTGATTTGAAATAATGGGTGAAGCCAGACGAAGCTTTGAACAAAGAAAATTTATCCGAAAGTGCCACTAGACTTTTTTATGGGGATGCATAAAAGATAAAGTTTACGGTACAAAACTAGCAGTATTCGACGGATTTAGGGCACACAAATACTGAACAAAATGATTCTTGATGTTTGCGATTCCATTGCTCCGCATCATCAGCAGTGCCTGGACCAGACTGTCATCAGTTTGAAAACAGGCTCTGACAAAAAAAAAATTAATTTCTGTAGATTCTTTTAAATGTTGAAGATGATCTGTACATTAATAAACACTGACTTTATAATCATTCAAAGTGTGTATACATTTTTGGGGACACCCTATCCATAAACTCATGCCCTTTGTGTTTATTGGAGAACAATAAAGAATATAGATAATTCAAAGTTATTTTTTAAAAACACCCATGATCCCTTTATCCAGCACTAACTAGTCTTTATAAAAGTTGGGACCACTTCATTGAGAGAGCCTCGAGTCTGTGCTGTCCAATTCATAGCCACTGGCTAGTAGCCGCATGTGGCCGTGAGCACTTGCAAAGTGTCTAGTCCAAATTGAGATACGCTGTGAGCTTAAAACACACATCAGATATAACACACTTATATTAAAAGACTTTAAGACATCTCAGGAATTTTGTATTGATTATAAAGTGAAGTAGTATTTTGGATATATTGGGTTTAAGTGCAATATATTATTAAGCATACTTTCACCGGTTTCTCTTTACTTATTTAGATGTGGCTACTAGAAAACATAAAATTACTTATGTGGTTCGCATCTGTCTTCCATTATATTTCCCCTGGACTGTCTTGGTCTAGGTCAGTGGTTGGCAAACTCATTAGTCAACAGAGCCAAATATCAACAGTACAACGATTGAAATTTCTTTTGAGAGCCAAATTTTTTTTAACTTAAACTATATAGGTAGGTACATTGTTATTAACTTAATTAGGGTACTCCTAAGGCTTAGGAAGAGCCACACTCAAGGGGCCAAAGAGCCGCATGTGGCTCGCGAGCCGCAGTTTGCCAACCACGGGTCTAGGTCATTAACAGAAAGCGGGGTTGTTGGTTGAGGTGTGTGATTCTGTTCATGGGACTGGATCTGTTAGGATAGAAGCTGCACAAAAGCTGGAGAGGGGATGGCTGGATGGGGGGAAAGAATGAGTGCTCAGGTGACTGGCAGGGGAGGGAGTTGGGGCTTCCTAGCTCGAGTCCCACCTGAAGCAGAGAGGAGCTTGGAGGTGGTTAATAAGATGGTTAATCTCGAGCCCCTTCTTCTTCTGTTCTTACTGGTTAGACATGTCACCTGATCCTCCCCTAAGGTAAGCTAGACATCTTTGAAAGCTCCCATAAGCATGTCCGATCACGGGATTAAGTTGGGTTACTGCCCTCCTCTGTTGGTTGTGTACATGAGCACCTCTTATTCTAAACGGTAAAGAACTTGAAAACATGTTTGTAGCTCCATCTCTCCTTGCGTTGAAAAAAGTGCTTGTAGGTGGTTAGGGGCTCAAAATTAACTGTTAATTTTATCAGCTGTTAATTCATCAGACTTCTTAAAAATCCCAATTAAAATGATGGACCGTTCTGAATAATTTTTGCTTCTTTCACAGTAAAACCTCCCTAGTGTATTTTAAAATTGCACTCAGCAGTGCCCCAGTGACCTGAAAGAATAAACGAAATGTCTTAAAGTGTCCTTTTTAAGCACCAGTGATCAGATTTTTAAAATAATAAAGTCCAATGGTTTACAATATATATATCCACACATAGTAACATATTAACTTACATATATTCATATATATGTATAAATGTTCTTTTCAATTAAAAAATGGGATATATTTTCTGCCCTGGCCGGTTTTGCTCAGTGGATAGAGTGTTGGCCTGTAAACTGAAAGGTCCCAGGTTTGATTTTGGTCAAGGGCACATGCCCGGGTTATGTGCGGGACTTGCAGGA